CGTTCGATTCGCTGGTGCAACGTTCGATTCGCTGGCGCAACGCTCGGATCCAGCGATTCGCTCGATTCGCAAACTATGACATCGGCCTTAGGCCGTTAGTTCATACTCTCCAAATATAAGGTTTCCTGATGCTACTCCCCCCCCCCAACGACTCCCGAATTTCCGACGGCCGTCTTTCACCAAAACGAATGCAACCTTTGACCGAGGACTCTTCCCTGAGATCAACGAGACAAATTTACAGCAGAATCCCAACACGACCATCTTTCACCAATACGAATACGCCCTCCTACCAAGGATTCCTCCCTGATTGTGAGACCAACGATACAAATTTACAGCAGAATCCCAGTTGACCTCTTCAATAACTCCAAAAAAAAGCGATAAAATATGGAGCTTGATGGGATATTGAATCAAACGAGCATATTTAACTTGTCCTTTCAGCTTTTGTTTTCTGTAATGTACGCGGTGCTAACTTAGTTGGGGGGTCCACTGTCAAGTCCCGCCACTTTCAAACAGCGTCCACTGTCACGTGACACTGTTTGAAAGTGGCGGGCTTCCTTTGAACGTTGGGTCCTGAGTCGCTGGTACATAGTTCGACTCGCTGGTGCAAAGTTCGATTCGCTGGTGCAACGTTCGATTCGCTGGCGCAACGCTCGGATCCAGCGATTCGCTCGATTCGCAAACTATGACATCGGCCTTAGAGGGGCACACGAACAGAGCGCCGCGCCAACGCCCTCCCCCAACTAGGTTAGCACAATGTACGCTTCATATAGAGGGTATGAAACACCCGGTGTGTCATACTCGCTTCAAAGATAACAACAGCTAAGCACAGCTGAAGAGCAAAAGAGGCGCAGTGTGCACGGGAGGCCAGCCTGTTGGAAGGCTACTAGGACCAAGCCTAACGGAAAGGAGGAAGAAAAAGCATTGCTTACGCACCCGACGCACCTACCCCTCTTTGTCTAAGGCTCAGTCCTAAAACTGAGAGCTTCCGTGTTTCTGACGCGATGTTGTCGGCTTGGCTTCCCACTTTGCACAATGCAAAGGATACCCTAGTCCACAGTTTGAGAGACCCGTTAGTTTGCACTATTTTGCACTTCATAAATCACCATTCGACCACTTAACTACTCTTATCCAGAAACTATAAAAGGTGTGGGTTTTCAAGGTCAAACAGTAGAAAAGAAACTTGAAAGATAAGCGCTGCACTTCCTTCACATGTTCTCGTTGATGATGTCACGTAGAAACATCTCTGGCCGCCGAGTGTAATTACGTACCAAACGTGGTACCGTAAGTCACGCCTAATTTTGCTTGTATCAACGAAAATTGGGTGTGTGATTAACGATGAAATAATTGGGGTATGCTGATTAACGGCTCCCAGACAATACCTAACCATTGGGCGCGGCCGCGGCGAACGCGGCCGAGTCGATTGTGCCCGCGAACCGTTGAAAACGCACTCGAGGTGCCCGCGAACTGTGCTGTGCTGAGTTCGCGGGCACCTATCAACTCGGCCGCGTTCGCCGCGGCCGCGCCCAAATGGTTAGGTATTGTCTGGCCCCGTGATTAACGATGAATAAACGTCTGCCCATCGCCCTACTTTCCTTGATTTTGGTCCGCTGAAGTCGCACGTAACTAGTGGCCATTGAATGCTCCCACCTCACTGGCAATAGAACCTTTAGCTCCCTTCTTATTGAGCAGCTGTTAATTTAATGCGTTTCACTAGTGGAACTTTACCTCGGGCCAGCGATGCTTTTCCGACCCCATGTGTCCTACTAGAATGGATCAACTATTGTTACCTACCTGTCGTGACTATAAGCATCAAGCTCGCCTGCAGCCCTTCAATAAATGCTTATCATTTTCTAAAATCTCAGGTCTTTGTTCACTACAAATAAGGTTGTTTTTCTCTTGACACATCACCACTAAACCACCGCAAGATGTGCTCACAAAAGCCAGCCAAACCTAATTCTCACAACCGCACCAATTGTGCCCATCAGATCGCTGTGTAATGTTTCCCGAAAGCACTTGTGTCCCACCACACTTCCTCCTCTATTATTAATTTTTGCATCTTCTGTCCAATTTAAACCCCAAGGAAAAACAAAGGCTTAAAGTTATGCATGAGACTACAACAGCCACCCAACACTAACTTTCCTGAAATTGCCAACGGTGAAGCTCACGCAATACCAAAAAATCAACCGCAAGTTTTCGAGGCCTAAAGGACGCAGAACCCTTCCTTGGCCAGAGGATCACGGAGCGAAAGGCGACGAGAACTGTCACTGCATCGCTATTTTCCATCGCGCGCGGCGTTCTGCGTGTGACTCTCCCGCAGCTGCGGCGACGCGACTTCTCATCGCGGCCTTTGTGGAGGAGTTGTCGGCCTCCCCGAACAAAAAAACTTCCTGCGTTTTCGTGTGATATTTGCTGCATTGTATATATCGTTCTTTTAGATGTTGCCAGCATTAATTGTTTCGAGTTTTTTTTGCTGATCAACTCTAAGTTTTCAGACTCAGTTTCGCATGACGGTCATGGCTGCTAGCAGCACTAATATGTGAGTGTGTTGAATTTCTTTACTTGTCAGTTTCCACAGAGGGTTTTCATTATTTCTTTTCGAACATTTGGGCTTGTGTTCGATACATCTGCTTATGAGCATCCTCCGAGATTTCAGACTGAGTTCTGCTCCAGAAGTTGGCAGTTGGGCGGAAGCCGTGGAGCAAGATAGTGAGTGCAACTACTCATTTTTCTTTTATTCGTGTATATTTTATTGGATTCTATTATCTTGCTGTACACCACTAGGTTACGCTCGAAGCAGGGTGGGCATAATTGTGCGTTATTGGCCGAAAACAAGAAAATTTACGTTTAATTGCATTAAGGCTGAATATTCCTTTGAACTATGCTTTTTCAACCACCCTTCGGTTGTTTTGGGTCTACTCCAGTTAGGGTGAGGGGGCATCGTGATGCAACATTTCTCAGAAAGCTAGGGTAACTCCAAGCCAGGGGGAGTGTAGCCAGTCTAGGGGGTTGGGAGGTGAGGGCAGTCACTTGTCATGCGTGAAGCGCCTGGAATGTTCGATGTTCACCGATAGACTGCATATGTGCACATGCTCGACCTAACGCAGTGTTCTTAGCTCTCTGCTTTTTAAACAAGATAGAATTGGAATGGGCCGGTGAGCCAAATGCATGCTAAGTTTGAAAAACTACCATCAGCTCCATAATCTAAAAATTTAGGCTGTTTATCATGTCATTTGGGGAGGATTTTTTCGTTATCCTCTGTGTAACTGTTCTGGGCGTTTGCTGTGATTATTCTTTATGAATTTTTCATAGTCATTATGCAGGAAGCCGCTTCAAACAGTTCAATTTTATTTTACAATAATGTTCTTAAGATTTACCGAGTAATGATGTGAACGAAGATGGTGTCAAAACTGTCGTCGCTTATATCGAGGAGGATGGATCACGATACAAGGTGGGTTTTTGAATTCAAGCTTCGCTGACAGCTTTATCATGACCATTCATCCATTTAATATTTTCCAGGTTTGTCACTCAATTCAAAGTTATTACCAAAAACGTGCCCAAAAGTGGTCGCTGAGCGAAAGAAAATGGTGAAGTTTGGACTTTGTCGAGATGAACCTGCTGGCCCACAGGTGGGTGTCATTTTCTATTCGATCATTGATTCGGTGTATTTCTTTCAACATTGGAGTCAGTTGTTGATTTTGTCGTAGGTGATAGCCAAATATAATTAGGCTGTCCGCATAATTGTGTCGTTTTAGTTCAAAACAAAACATTTTCCTCTGAGGTTCCGGTGTTCCATATCAAACCATATGCTCACTAAAAACGACACTACTGCTATTCGAAAGAGAACTGTCTGCACAAAAAGCTGAATTTTGCTTCCACATTCGACAACCAACCTTAACCCTATTTTCCCCTCGGCGGAAATTTTTTTTCCGTAATGTGGTCGTCTTCGTGGGCTGAACACCTTATCTTGCAGGCCTAAAGTTCAACCTAATTCATACACGAATCTAAAATACAATATAAATAAAATTAGAGCAGGAAGATCGATGCAAACTGTCTGATGTGGAAACAATGGAGTTTCAGAGGTAGAATTTCAGTTTAAAAATCGCTGTGGCTTAACGGTCGGCCAGAACGCAAATTCGAACAAGAACCCGACAACTTTTTCAACAGCCCAGTAGCGGAATGTTTATCATATTCGAAAGGGCAAATAGAGTTGGATCCTAGGTTGTCCCCGGTTTGGCTGTTCTTGTCGCTGACCTGCCCCATTTCGCAGACAATAAAAGCAAAAATCTTGTCCGATGGCGGAACGAAACTATCGCGCCTTGTGAAGCCCTGAGTCTTTTTCGAATGTCTTAAGCTGATACAGAACATGGGGATCTTAGTAGAGAAAAATTTTTTGTTTGAAAAAAAAAAAAACGACACTACTTATGGGTCAACCTAATGGAACAGCGGTATTTCAAAGAGGTCACGAAGTTTAGCTGCAACGACTTTTTTTCGGATGAAACTTTTTGAAAATTGTGGTCACAGTTTTTTAGGTTTCCACTACTTACGTGGCTGAAGAAGTGGAAATGCAGTTCACCAGAAATCGTGCCGGAGAACAGATTCTGGACGTGCAAGAGGATAAACAAGCAGTGAGTTTCTAATCCTTTGTGCCCAATGCTGAAAGCTGGCACTTTCTTAGAGTTTGTCTTGGTGCGATTTGGCGCAAAATCCTTACACGCGCCACGTCTCTCGGACAGTATTTGATGACTCATTCAGGCCAAAGTCACGAGCAGAGAACATTGTCGTCACTGCAAAGGAAACGATCACTGGAGCACAAACTGTCCATACAAGGTATTCCTTTTGAGAAACTCAACAATTTGATAGATTCATTGACCATTTTGAGTAACACAATCCTCTTCGAAGGGCCATCCCTTTATAGATTTCATTTTTTTTACCAATTAAATGCAATATAGGAGATGTATCAAGTGGATGAAGAAATCGATGCAGCAGAAACTGCAGAGAAGGAGCGTGCAGCAGCTGCTGCTGGCGGTCGGTATATTGCTCCAGGAATGCGCGGAGATGCTCGGCAAGTAGATCGAAGGTGAGCTTTACTTGAAACTTATTCTTCATTTAAAAGGATAAAGCGCTCGGCGTCGGTCAGTTTTCTCTCGAAGGTGAGCCTTGACTTGAATTTTTATTTGGGGCTGTAGTTATGTTGGGATGCGCATTCATTCCACCATTGTTTTATTGACACAGTCAACAGGACAGCACCTTATTTTGACTTTTGTACAAGTTCCCACTCAGTCGAACCCAGAGGAATAGGATGTTTGACGGGCCTAGGCGGGCTACGGTACAGGGTTTTATCTGCGCACACGTTGGGTGCTAGCGGCATCCAATTGCTGCTTTCCCACTCCCATCTTCCCGCCTCTCTCTAGATGTAGCGTGTGCAAGGGAAGTGTTCTTCATGGCAATGAAGTGTTTCTGTTTTTAGCTGTTTCTATGCCTAGCCCAGGAACTATATCATCACTTTGTCAATTTTCCTATAACTTTCGGCTCTGTAAAGCCGATGTGAGTGGAGATAAGAATGAACACTTCGGTAATTCCAGTGCCTCCGCTCTGATGAATTTGGAGCTGCATTGGGCTCCTAACGTTACATATGATGTTCCCATTTTCATATTACAGGTCCGATGAGAACACCTGCAGAGTGACAAACCTTCCTCAAGAAATGGAAGAAGCCGAACTTCGAGAGCTATTTGCAGCCATTGGAAGAGTCGTGGTACGATTTATCATCCGAAGTATTCTTAATAGGCGTTATCTTCATTTGTGCATAGAGGCAACCGCATTCTAAATCGTTCTATTTAGCGTGTGTTTATTGCTAGAGATAAGATCACAAATCAGCCGAAAGGATTCGCTTTCGTCACTTATGAAATGCGAGAGGTGACTTTCTGACATATATTTTCAAAGAAGTAATATTGTTCTGTGTGCTTAACGTTTTGTGTTTAAGGATGCCGAACGAGCGATAGCCAAATTGAACGGAATACGAAAGCACCACATGGTTCTCAAGGTTGAATGGACTAGGTATGTTGTACGATTTCTTCCATAATATTTCCTTCCTTTGGGAGAAGAGTGGCGCTTCAAAATAGAGCGTATTTCCGTCGGTCGTTGATTGAGGAGAAGGCTTCTGGTGCAATCGTTCTGCCTGTTACGTAATTTCAATTTTGAGTAAGAAGTAACTTCTGCGTAAGCTCTGCTCCTACGCCATTCTGTCCCTTTTCTAATTTTGCACTCCTTTTCACCTTTACTTATCACTTTTGTACTAAGAACGAGGTCTGAGATGAATGAATATCTTCTCCTGTGCAAAAGGCTTCTCAACGTTTTGTGGAAGTAAAGCCCCCTATGCCTAGCGAAAACCTCATCCGTAGCTTGCCTTGAGTGCTTTGCATCAAGATGCCCCTTTTCCGCCTTTTTGGTGGAGCACCCATCTGATGGAGCAAGCGCTCGTTGAATGCTGAACCTCTTTTGATTTGTTACCGGGTTGTTTGATCTCCGCCCAACTGTTCTGATTTTTGAAATCTGCTCCATCTTGAAGTGTTGTGCGGATTACCCTCTAATGTTCGGATTAAATCTAGTCCGGTTATTGAGTTTCGTTTTCAAAGTTTTATATTTCAGGCCAAGCAACTGATGATTTGCCGATATTTCGACGGGCTCATGTGAAAGTGTAACAACAAATAGCCAATAAATTATTCTATGTGAAGATTATGATCATTTCACCCTTCCTTGACAATTTTTCTATCTGATGGGTTCTTGAAAGTTACTCCGGTAACTGGTTTCTCTACATTCACAGAGTTCTTCAGTTTTCCATTTAGTGGTGCACTTCTTTACAGTTGTACTCGGTTGATGTTATTGTTATAAAGTCTTGCAGTGTTCAAGGTGAATTTATGCACTTTAGCGGTTCTCGTCCGTTGGTTACTAGATTTTCGCTCGTTTTTACTGAGTTGACTTCAAGAAGAATCTTTCATTATCAGGTTATGCTATTTAAGGCTAGGAATTGGTTGAGTTTTCCGTGGCCATGTGTCCCCTAAAGTTAATGAAAAAGCGAGAAGGGAAGAGAGAAATGAGGAGGTGTTGTGAGTGAATCTGGAGATGTTGTGTTTTGCAGAAATGAGGGAGTGGAATGGAAAGGGTGAAGGAACTTTCCAATAATTGCTGATTGAAAAATGTCAGCGCTGATGAATACTGCAAAATCCGTTATTTTCTGACGACACTGATCCCGCGTTTTGCTTGGCAGTTGTTTGGTGAGGGAGGTTCATCCTGAGTTGTTCTTCTATCCAATTGAGCATGAAAGCTTTGTGTGTGTTCCGCTGTTTGTGGTACTCCGGTAGAACTTCCGCTCTTGTCTATGTAGGCGTTTGAAGAAATGGTTCACCTAGTGGGACTACCTTGTACCTGCTTTTGAGGGATTTTTTGAAAGGGATTAGCACGCTATACAAAATCGTGATCTTTAGTGTTAAAGTGGCCAACTTAAAGGAATGCCTCTATTCGAGCTCCTCGTAGAATGAAAAAAGATCTGTTTGCGTCACTGCATAATACATATTTCATTTGTTCCACTGCTTTGTCTGTTTTTTCGCTCAGTCTTTACTTCACGAACCTTACAGGCGTCATGGGCCTCCTTTCAATACTTCGAAAGCAAAGAGAAAGGGAACGTGAGATTCGAGTGCTAATTCTCGGTCTTGACAATGCAGGCAAGACCACTATAACGAAGAAGTTTCTTGGCGAAGATCTGAGTTTGGTGGAGCCCACACTCGGTATAACTTATTTCTAGGTATCAGAATGTTCTCGTATTTCCAATAGTGAAGAAATTTCTTAATCAGGATTCAACATAAAAACCGTGGACTTCCAAGGATTTACGATAAACTTTTTGGGATGTTGGTGGACAGAAGAAGTCTACGTTCATATTGGCGTAATTATTTTGAGCAAACAGATGCGCTTATTTGGGTTGTTGATTCTGGAGATCAAGGTGTGTTCAAGGTTTTTTATTTTTTCTTAGATATTTTACGCAAATTCTTCTGTAGGTGGTTTTGATTGATGTCTTTCCGTACTTTAGAGCGATTGGTTGCGTGCCGTAATGAGTTGAGATCACTTTTGGGAGAAGAACGGCTCTCAGGAGCATCACTGCTAGTTCTTGCGAATAAGCAAGGACCTGCCCAGCGCAGCTCGTGTGACCGATATCGCCAAGGTATTTTTTCTCTCAGAACAGTGGTGTGTTCAAAGTTCATGTCTTATTCTAGCGGAAATCCATCTTTGTTTTTTGTGGTGGCCTCTCATTATGAGCCTCTCATTATTGTCTACTCAATTGCTTCAAAAAAGAGTAGAGCTCAAGTAATACTATTACTCAGTACATAGTTTCGACAGTCGAATCATTTTTGGGGCCAAGCAGTATTGGAGAACATAGAAGCAGTCACTTTCACAAGCACGGGGTTTCGATAAATGACTAGAAAAAGCGAGAATCCTGCTTTTGTTATTTGACATTTACTGAAAAAGTAATTGCTTCATAAAGTTACTTAAGAGGGATAGTCCTTCAACGGTATTTCCTCTCTGGTGCAAATCTAATGTCATTCAAGTAGTGGCAGTGGAGAGTTGCAAGGGTTGACGCACAGGTTTCTTTTGTGTTTGAGGTACATCTCGCTATCCGCAGCACCTCGTTTTGTACTCCTTAGTGGCGAGAAGATGCTTAAACAATTTTAAGTCGTTTGCTGAGATAGAATTTGTGGGGAAAATTTCAAAGTTTGCGAGTCTTTCTTGGCGTCGGGGCTTTGTTTCTTGCCAGTGAATCTGGGGGACGCTAGTGTCTTATTTGCCATTTTGTTTTGGACTACCACCCCAAAAGATCACTCAGATGCACCAAAAGTTGGCGCGTAAAAAGCTTAATGTCGCAGTACCACTGAAATTATATGTAGCAGTGAAAGTTTATGTTCTTTACGTGATGTTTCGAAGGGTAAGTTATCATAGGAGGAGAGAAGGTTGCTGTTCACTTCCGCAGTAAGTTTCGTTAGTAAAGAGGGAATCGTTTCGTTTGTTTACAGTTCTTTTACGTGTTCTTCACAGTAGAAGTTTTACAAAGATGCTGGGTTATGAGCAACGAGGATTGAACTATTCTCTTATCTGGGACAGTTGCTACTACTCCATCACAAGGTGCACTAAATTCACCTTTACACGTTGGCGACATCGTGTGTTTTGGCATTTTGCACCGCGTGGGTACAGGAGCGATTTTGCGAGCGCGCCGTCATCACCTTATTTTCTGTTCAAAATGCCCAACAGCTTGAATATTTGACCACTTTGGCGGCCATTTGGTCTATAGTTATGCTAATGTTTTGTCTATAGAATGAATATAAAAAACTGGAGAAGCAGCGCAAGCACGATAAAAATGAACGATAGGGTTCTGACGCGCATGTGCGTCAGAATGTCCGATGCTGTCGTCAACGTGTTAATTCAGCTTCCTACGGTATATTTACCTATTAAGCTTATCGGCACACACATGAAATGTTATGAGCCAATTAGCCGACATCGGCATTGAACTGCAAAACAGAAAACTAGCTCATTTGGCAGTTTTAAATTTGTCCTGCCACTTTATCTACTGATTTTGCCAGTTCGCGATGTGAAATATCCTTGCCCGGGGCGAAATGTTTTGGCCATAACCGAGCCAGCGCCTTTGTGAAGGGGCAATTTGTTGACATAGTAACGAAAAGTCACCAAAGGGCTGCTCTATACGCTAGATTAATATGAAGTAAAACCACCCGCTTCATTATTGTCACCTAATTCTTTCATATCGCATAGCATTATCCAGTGCATTTTTCAGATACTGGAGTTAGAGGAAATCAAATCGCACCATTGGCGTATCTACAGCTGCAGTGCAATGACCGGTGAAAATCTACTGGAAGCTGTCAGTTGGATGTGTGACGATGTTGCCAGCCGGATCTTCACCCTCGAATGAATGATGTCGAAGTGCGTTGTCTGCACCAGCGGTTCACAATCGACCGACGGGCCCTCTTCGATCGTGGAGGTCCTCGTCGTGTGAGGCCCCGTGCAAATCAATTTGTGGTCGCGACGCGTCGCAGTGACTTGCAACGCGGCAGTATCAGCTGACCGCCAGCCTGCTCGTCGCCGCTAGACAGCTGCAAACTCTCGCACCCTTCAGTGCAGGCAGCAGTATTTCTAGTTGTGGTTATTTTGATCTCATATCATCACGGTTACTATAGTCGAGTTTTAGTCTCCATGCTATGCACTAATGTTACAGTTGTGGCTTTCATGGTGCAGGAAGGCTCTACTGAAGAGGAAGTTAATATTCTATCTCTGCTAGCGAAAGATTCTTGTTAGCGAGTTTTCTCCTCATACGCTGTTTTCCTGATTTTCTCAAGGTTGCCTTGTACAATATATAACAGCTTTAGTGGGTGAGAGGGTTCTTTAGGGTTCCCATCGATCGGCTTTGTATGTCATGTATAGCAGTTGCTTAATAAATGGCGATATTCGTGAAGTATGTGGAACATATAAAAAACCTAGCAATGATGTATTGCAGTGAGTTGTAGGATTTGTCCAGAGCGCCTCCTAGGCAACAAAGCAACAGAGTGCAAGGTCAATGGTCGCTTGGAGTGCGCCTGGTCAGCATTGATGAGGCTGAATGATGGGGCTACATCGAACTCTGAGAGCTTGAACGACAGTACATTCACTGGCTGAAAGCTAAAAGTGCTGCGGCATATGTTTTCTGGGAAGTTACGGCTTTATTTCGCTTTTCCTTAGGTGGCGGGCTCTTTCAGACAGGAGATTTCTACTGCACTCAAGTGGATTTTTGCAGATGCTTAATGTGGTGAGATTAAGTTAGCATTCCTCATAATTGGGTTCAATTAGCTCTCATAATAAATTTGCTCGAGTCGATCTCGGAGTAGCACTCAAACGTATCCCCTCAAGCGTCTACCCGTCTCTGTCATCAAGCCCATCTGGTAAGAACCTAGCCCAGTAGTCAGACAGATTCTTCTGTCCCTTCTCTATATCCAATCGATTCATCTTTACCCTTACCAGAACACCGAAACGTTCCAACGACTCTCGACTAAACACCCATAGATGTCGCGTTGAATAGATTGGTGTGTGATAATTGACCTTCGGGTTGGCTACGGGAAGGCCATGCACGTACGCGGGCAGGTCATGTTTGTTTATCGCGATTTTCGAGTGTTGAAAAAAAAAACGGTTGCAGGTGGCTAGACCCCCTTCCTCCATCAGTTATAGCTCTCCAAATCACGTCTTTATGTCGCATATGTCGTTTTCTCCCCGTCGCCCCACCTCGCACCAGTTCAATGCCAACTGAAGCGTGGCCGTCGCGCTTGAAGGCCTTGGGACAAAAATTACGGTTGTCGGCATTGGAATAAAAACCATGCTGCGCATGACTTCATTCTCCGTTTGTGAACAGCATTTGATATGTTTTGGACCTTAGGTGTGTAGTTTTTGGCCAGATTTAGAAAATGGGACAGGATCATGACAAGCTTTCGGGGGTCCTACCAATGAAAATTGAAATTTTAGGGGTGGTAGGGGTAGTTGGCAGATTAAGATCACCATCTAATAGGTCGTTCCTCCCAATTCCTACACTTGGCTTGATGAAATATTCAACACTGTAAAGGAGTAGGAAAAGGGCCTTTGGATTCCATGGGAAGATGTAAAAGGTAAGGGGTGGAAGTAGCGGCGTAGTACCGCTACAGAGCCATGGACTTAGCGGCCCTAAACACAACGAGTACTCTGCTTTTGTGTACTGTACTCTATACTAACGAGTACTTGGTTACTGTATTTTCGAGCTCTTACCTTTGAACCTTATATAGCAACTTGTTCCAGGGTATTACGGAGATCTTGACGTCTTCTCGGGTCTACTCTAATAAGGGGGGGGGGGCAGTGGTGCAACAGTTTGTGCCTCCTAGAGTAAGCCCAATCTTGCCAGAGAGGAAGCTTTGGGCAGGGGGAAAGCGGAGGCGAAATTGTTCGCGCCCCCGGGGATTTCGTTCTCTGCAAAAATTGGACTCACAGTAGGCTATCGTGCTACCCATCGCACCACAAAACCCCTTTTTCATTGGAGTAGACCTGTATTCTCAGTTTATATTCAACACATTGACGACAGCCCGTTGTGCTGGCGTGCTTCTCGGCATCTTTTTTTTGATATTTTCCTAAAACGAGCACTATTCTTTCAATAGTCCGTTACAGGTAATGGACATGGTATTTTCTGGATCCAGTGATGTAGACGAACAACTTTCTACATAAAAATATAAAGTGAATCGAGCAAAACCACGCCTATTCGTGCGAGAATCTGACGCGCATGCGCGTCATGCCGTCGTCGATTAAATGCGGAATGCCAGAGAAGGCCATATATTAGGTTAAGAACACTGTGGCTGGGTAAATGTGGATTTTTAGGTGCTTGCTTAGGTTGGGGGGGGGCACGCGGCGCGACGCTCTACTTGCCTGCAACTTTGAGACTTATGGTTAATCACAGGGACCGTTACTATTTCGCCGCATCGTATCAGTTTTCGCGTCTAGCTCTTGCAGAGGAACAGCCGGATGAAACGCGCGCGCCGCCCCCCCCGCTCCAAGTTAGCAGCCGGAATTCTAAGAGCAAATTACTTGCCATAACCCAATCTTCTTATAAGAACCTCCAAAAACTACCAGCTTGACAATAGCAAGCATAACAGACTATACGATCACACTGTTTTATACTACCTCGCCCAACACGTGTATTGACTATTTTCGTTCCTCACTGCCTTTTACACAGGAGCGTCGCGTGGGGCTTCACAGCGGTTGAAAATTGGTTACGCCAAGAAAAGCAAAAAAAACATGTTTCAATATCAGAGAAATGAGCTCTCCGGAGAATCATGATCAGAATAAAATCGCGTAATCCATCTATCGACAGTTACTGAAATTAGCGCTTGACATTCGTCCGAATGATGTGGATTTTTAGTTGGAAACCGATGCCCTTTATGTGAAGCTCGCTTCAGTGAGATGATGACCAAGAACATCAACAAACAGGTAGGCTTGAGATACTAGTAGACCATTGAGCGTGGCTCAAAACGTCTATTTTTCTACAGGAGCGCAGCGATCTGATCCTTACGCCTGACTCGTTTGTTCGATCGATGAGGAGGATTGAGATCGAGCTCGACAAACTATATACCAAGTTGCGCGTTCCTCAGTTCTGTGAGTCAAGCATCAACGCTATCATGCTCCGCTATATTTATAATCCCACATGCAAGAGAAAGCAAAACACTTACTATTGACCCCATCGTGCTCAACAGGGCCGAGCGAGCCAACCAAAAACAACGACAAAAACAACAATACCATAAAACAAAACCCAACAGGACAACCAGGGTGATCGGGTAGCCAAATGGACTCGCTGGAAGGGACGAATAGAAGGATAAAGCCGCTGACAATTTTTGGGATGCGTCACGCCTTTGGATTTCACTATTATCTTCGGTGCATTGTGAATGGGTGCTCACTTATAGGTTACGGGTGTCGTTCGGGCTAGTCAGCCGAAGGTGAGAATTCTAGTTATTTTAGTCCTCAGATCATTCTGAATTTTGCTTGACGGAGAAAGGAAAGCACCAATGGGGCAGCGGGAGAGGGGTATAAGGACCCATGGTGACGGGTGGATAATTAAGGCCGCCGCTGCGGAAAATTGTGCGCGCCACAATTCGGACAGGGCACCTAAATCTGGCGGCCATCCGACATCTGGCCTTAAATGACCTCTGTGGCTAAGACAACACCTAGGCCCTTTTTCTACGTCCAATACAAGTGGACTCAACGTGAACGGCAAATGAATTCGGTCCTCTGTGAAGCAGTGGTATGGAGACGCAAAGGAAAGGAATTATTTCGCCGAGAATGTTGTGAACCACAACATCCAAATTCACATCAATTAAGCTATCCCTCTCTTCCCCTCCCCTCCTCCAACCGATCAGTCCCAACATTCACTAAATCACCAACATAGGCTTCAAAGCTTCCGAGTGGCAACAGAAAGAGTAATTACACACCTGCAAAGTGATATAGCACGATAAGCACATCAACACTTGAATGGACACAAGAAATAAAGCTAAATGCACTATGGCAATGCACACCCGGTGTTACGATTAGCACCCTAGATCTTACTTCGAAGCTGAAATGTAGATCGATTGGCCCCGGAGTGTCATTACATTGGCTAAATCACTGCGATTCTGAATGAAAGTGGTATGCGTGGCTCACCCCAAGAGGGAAAACTTCGGTGCCAAGTGCTCCTCCTCTTCTATATCTATCCATTTGGGCGAACAGTGCATTGCAAATAGGTTAAGCAAGTGCACTGACTCACACGCACAGACACAGCCAATGAGAATCGAAGCGAGGTATTTCGCCGATTTGACGTATAAGGTACAAAGGAAGAGGGGGGGGGAACCTACTTCAGTGGGAAGACGAACTGAATCTAGCAGGCCAAGGCAGGAGGTTTTACTTCCTAACCTTAGGCCGATTATAAAATTATTATCTTTAAGGTTTTTTCTTTTTCGCTGCATCTACATAACATTCTCAACTTACATTCCCGATATGGCAAGAAACAATAAGCCTATTTCATTAGTGAAACCTATTTTAGATCCTGCCATCCGCAGGTCATCCAGGCCTAAACAAGACTTTCCCTTTAGGGTTCACTTGCATAATTTATCAGCTGGCAAAAACATTTTGGATATGATATTAGATACCAATTGGAACAGGCTTTAGCATAGCCACTTCACACAACACGCCTTTAATGAAAGTTTTGGCGGGAAAAGTAGAATGCATATCGGCTCATACAAAAGATTGACATCTAGAAGTTATAACTCGAGCCTCCCTACATCATACATAATATATAAGTAACGCTGTCGATCGAACGCGACCACGTATGG